TATAATATATATTATATATATATAATATATATATATAATATATATATATATATATATATATATATATATATATATATATATATATATAAATATATATATAATACTGCAATTGCACTCTTTTGTGAAATATATTAACCATTTAAGTGGCAATCATAGCCGTACGTTACTCGATTATTCTGTCTAACGCCAGACAATTGTAGTCATCCAGGGGTCCCCATCAGTGCTGTCAATCAATGGATTAATCTATGAAGCATTTTAACTCATTTTAGGGAGCTAAATTGCCAATTTCCAGTCAATGAGCCCCTCTTTTATTCTATATTGTGTGGTGGACAAGATGGATTCAATACAACTTCAAATAGGTATATTTAAAGTAGAGAAGTTACTCATATATTCTACGGTAAATGTGTGAATAAACTATTCTGTTGCTTATAATTATTTATGTGGCAATGGCTGTTTTGTTTGCAGAATTGAAAGATATAATGCAGATATATTTAAAGCAGACCACTTCTTGAAAGATTATGTTATTATACCAATTATAAGGAAGTAAATGAGTATTCATTAATTTATGCAGTACATTTCCTGTAATGTATTGTTTGAAATCGTAACATATTTTTATGTGTATTTATGTAGTTATCACTGGTCCTTAGCAGTTATATCTCCATGGTATGATAATTCAGTTAATAGCATATAGTCAATAGTCTATCATCTGATCCCTGAGTTGTTGCATCATTAATCATTGCCAATTTCAACTGCATTATTAGTCTTTAGTTTAGACTTTTATAATTTAGTCTTTACTAGTTTACTCTGTAGTTTAGACTTGTCAAATATCATGCATATGTATCATTTGCATATGTTAAATATTGGTTTAGATAATATTAGATACAAAATAATTTGCAGGTACTTTTTGTGGTTCGATTCACTCACCTGGGATGTCTCTCTGAAAGAAGTGGAAATCAGCAAAATTTCTCGGCAAGTTTGTTTTCAATTGTGATAATATTAATAAAAATTGAAAGTACTGTCTGTATATTGGCTCACTTTTCATACATTCATTTCCCTATAGGCATGTAAATCTTTGAAAGTATATATTGTGTAAAAAATTTGACAATTAATTATAATATAGTTTCACTAGCAGTTAAAAATTCTAATGTTTCTGCTCAAATAAATTTAACCAAACCCATCATCTAATAATTAAATGTTCTTATCAAAGTGCATCATAAAATTAGACAAAATAATATTAATAGCATTTTACAATTTGTAGATACATTAACCATCTATTATGCAAAGAGAAGAACATTGAGAACAAATATACCAATTTGAAAAGTGTAGCACTAAAGGTAATTATAAATTTAACTCATGATCAATCACATTCTTCAAAGCTGGGTTAGCTTAACCCTAGATTAACCTAAAATTCAAAGCAAATTTCCTGACAGCTTATCCATAAATTTGGAAATATTTCTTGAGAGATCTTGTCTGGATCAATAGGAGTTTACTTCACTGAAGTTTTTAAATAAACAGACGTGCAGAAATGCATAAACTAAAACAGCAGGTTAAATTTTAACCCATGGTTATAGCGTTTAAACCCACCTTTGAACAACTGGCCCCTGTACATTACTTTGTTTTCTGTAGGTACCACAACAGCTTCTGGACAGTAACAGTTGTGGTTTTTATATTGTCTTATTTTTGGAGCATTTCTTGAAGGTATTAAAAACAAATAATAATTATTTACTATATACAGGCATTAGTATCCATTTGCCAATGTTCTACTCATCAAATATAATTATAGTAAAAACCATAATCTATTTTAATACAGGAATTGGAAATATATGAAACAGTCCAGATGAATATGTACAAAAACTGCATAAATGGTTTACTGCTGAACAAGCCGAAGAAGGAAGAGCAAAAGCAAAAAAATATTGGGCTACTATGTATCATTTGAAAGTAACTTTTCGCTCTAAGCGCTAGAGCACTGGCACTGAATGCATGGGTTAAACTGAGGGCATATAGTTGCATTTTTTACAACTGCTCCTGGTTAGGTCTAATAATGCACCTATCAATGTTAAGCCCCAGAGAGGGGGGGGGGAGTCGGGCATAGGTGGGGCATTTGATTTTTTGAGCAAATTTTCAATCAAATGTCCCACTGTCGGGCAATAAATATTGGTCAAATGCCCCACCATTTTGCAATAAATTGCAATAAATACTATGTTAATAAAAGTCATTCAGTTCAAATTGCCCCAACTCGGGGCCAAAATGCTACCAGTAATCAAAATCCCCAGGGTGGGGATGCAATTGATGATCAAATACCCCACATATGCCCGCCCCCCCCCCCGCCCATTAACATTGATAGGTGCATAAATGTATATAATGTCCACGCAACATTCCCATCCACAAATTCCTCTTAATTATTTTTTAGGTTTTTATGATAGGTGGTTGTAAATTTATCAATGATGAAACCACTTTAACAATTGAACTTATATACCCTTTGAATGTTAGAGGAAGACATTTTCTCAGGATTGCAAAACTCTTAAGTTTTCGAATCATTCGTTCAATGTGAACTCGTTTGGTAGCAATTCTTCGGGTTAATGTGGAAGCGCAAGCTGATACATTGTCTTTTCTCATAATTGGTGGGGCTATAAGATGAACACCTTGGATAGCTAAAAGGTCTTGAATGTTGAAACCCTTATCAGCCGTTATGATATCACCTTCTTCCAAATAATCAAGAAATCCAGATTTCTGAACTATTTCTTTATCACTTATTGATCCAGAATAAGCATTAGAAAAAAGTTAAAATGACATAACGGGGATTGTGACACCAACACTTTGAATGTGTTTCTTGACTTGTATTGGCTGTAGGTATTTCGCTGGCTTGACGGCCTTGAAGGTTTGTCAATGTAGAGTTCTGTACAGTCAATTATTGCCCGAAGGTTTTTCATTTCTTCATAACATTTTGGGCGGGAAATTCCTTCCATCTCGGATAAAGTTGCAAATTTTATCAAAAATTTTAATTCCTTTTCAAGGAACAGTATCCGTGTGATAAAAATCTTGCTTCTACTAGCACAAGATATGCCAAACCAGTCGCATAGCACAGCCATAGTTGGGCAATGGTGCAAACGGACAAGTGTAAATACCAGTTGTTCTTTTATGCTTAAAATGGTATGTAATTGTTTTGCCTAAAGAAAATATGCTTATATGAGTTACATGCATGAGTTGTATTATATGAATTATAAACCATACTATGCCTACCACCAACTTTGGTTTTGTGTGTCACCCTAGCCTGGGTGCAGATCAACTCAACTTGAATTTTGTAAATGTCAACTCAAATTGGCATTTAATAAATTTGGGTTGAGTCTGCCCACAGGCTAATGGTGACTCGGCTTTCTTGGTTCATTACAAAACTTTAAAATATGTTCTTTAATTATACTTTGATGTATTTCTTGGTGAATTTCCCCGAATTCTTTCTTGTTCTTTTGAACCCTTTCCACATAATCAAACTCTTGGCTTTTCTTTTCAATGTACCAAATATAAAATCCAGACAATCTTTGGACAATTCTGCAATGTGAATGTATTAATTAATTATATTTCTAATTTTAACAGGGCCTTCCTTTATAATAAATAAATTTAAACTGTAAGCATATAATAATATATTTTACCTGTATAATGATAAGTTCTATTTCGTCATCAGTTACGTCACTAGGGAGTCACATGAGATATGCATGCGCAGATCGAGTATTCACTTTTGCACGTGTCGTTCAAAGTATTCAGTTGCAAGTTTTATTCATGGAGAATTTCGATTCAGAAAAACCAACTACCGAAGTATCGCCCGGTCAAAGTGAGGAAGACAACCTCTTTGTCGAAGTGGACATCGACGGATCCAACGAGAATGACGACTTACCGGCAAAATCAAGCAGTTTTCTACGGATGTTAAACCAGTCCTTACATACAATGGTTGGCTCAACTAGACTGTCACTGACAATTGCAATGACTCATTGCTGTCAGAAATTGAAAATGGTTTCTCTCAGGAGGACGATATGGGCCTGGCTATTACAGAGAAACTCGCTACCATAATCAATAAGCGTTGGTCTGGAAAACTGAGCAATCAAAAGCTGAAAGAAAAGCGGGATCAATACCCCCGCCCAGACAACTGTGACAGACTTGTGGTGCCACGCATTAACCCAGAAATCTGGGCGAGAATAGACCACACTGCAAAACAGTTGGACCTTCGCGCCAGCACAAACCAATCTAATCTGGCCAAAGCAGGAGTTGTCCTGGCAAAATCAACCGACAAACTTCTGTCACTTTATTAAAAAGACTCGAAGCCCGAGTACCGAGAGCTTATCACACTCAACACAGATGCCCTTGCTCTACTGGGACACGCGTCGTGTGAAATGTCACAACGAAGGCGGGAAAAGCTAAAACCGCATCTTAACAAAGAATACACGATCCTTTGCGCCTCGCATGTTCCAGTTACATCCCTCCTATTTGGGGATGACCTACAGGGTCAACTAACAAATATACGAGCTACAAATAAAGTTAGCAATACAATCAGTGATGCGAGAAAACAATACAAAAATACACAACAATGGCGACCACGATCACATTACGACAATACGCAGTCCCAGTTGCAATATCAATCCTCTCAGTTCTTTACAGGTGAGTAACCTCGCCTTAAACATTTATACAAATATGAAATCATATTTTCAGACCGAAATTGTGCATTTCAAGAGTGGTCAAATATCAAAACACATTGCCAAATGGCATGAGATTACCTCTGACCCAGAGGTTCTAGGTTCGTGGACTTCACATTGAATTCTCGACCGAACCTTATCAATGACAAAGGGTATAATAGAAAAATCACAACATGAGCCGGGAGAGTTTATCTCCCCCATATTTCTAAAGGAGAAAAAAGATGGATCATACAGAATGATCCTCAAGCGACCAAATGCTCATGTTCAATACCACCATTTCAAAATGGGGTCAATTCAGTCAGCCATTAGACTGCTGACACCAAACTGTTTTATGGCATCATCAATCTGAAAGATGCATACTATACTGTGTCCCAATAGCGAGCTTCCACCACAAATATCTAAAATTTGAGTGGTATGGGTCACTGTACCAGTTTACTTGCTTCACCAATGGCCTAGTAGCCTGTTGCCCACGCAAGTTCACAAAACTAATGAAGCCAGTACTTTGTTACCTCAGGAAATTGGGTCACCAATCCTCCCTTTACATTGACGACTCATTACGAACAGGTCAAACCTATGACGACTGTGCAGCTAATGTGATTGACACAACACAGCTCATAGACAACTTGGGGTTTATAGCTCACCCTGACAAATCTGTTTTCATCCCCACTCATGAATTAGACCATCTTGGTTTCACACTGAACTCCAGTAACTCCAAAACTATGCAGGTGACTATAACACCTGGAAAGAAGTTGAATCTCATAGAAACATGTAAGGAACTCCTTACGAAAGAATACCCTTCTATCCATGAGGTTGCTAGGGTAATAGGCTTGCTCATCTCAAACTTCCCAGGTGTTGCAATGGGACCACTACATGACAGACTTTCTGAAGCTGACATAATGCAGCACTTAAACATAACAAACGAAAGTTTGATGCCACTGTGCACTCTCGGCTGAAGCCAAGGAAGAACTTGTGTGGTGGATAAATAACATTGACACTGCATTCAACCCAGTGCATAGGGGGCAACCTAACATAACCATACAGACAGATCAGATGCTTCAAACTGAGATGGGGATGTGCACTGGGTGACAAAACAACTAGTGGACTCTGGGGCCAAACTGAGTCTTATGAACACATAATTTACTTAGAAACACTAGCAGTCTTTCTGTCACTTAAATCCTTTTAGCATATTCTAAGTGGCAACCATGCAATGATCATGGTGGATAATACCACTGCTGAAAGCATCATTAGAGAAATGGTAACCAGCCTATGTAGTGCTAGATTAAATCACCTGGTAAAACAAATTTGGCAGTGGTGAGAAAGCCAGAAAATATGGATAACAATGGCACACATACCAGGGGTTGAAAGCTGTCAAGCAGACTTTCAGCCTCTGTCTTTCAATTGGGGGACTGAATGGTGTCTTAGGTAACAAAGACATAGTATTACTTACCTTGGCATGTAACATGCTCAGGTTTACCCCTGACATTGATCTATTTGTTTCCAGAATCAACCATCGTAGCATTTAGACCAGACCCTGAAGCAATTGCCATTAATGCCTTTCACATGACATGGACTCAATTTGCTCTGTATGCTTTCCCACCATTTAGTGTGATAATGCAAGTGCTACAGAAAGTCCAAGAAGATCAAGCCTCAGGGATCCTAGTGATCCCATATTGGCCAACACAGATATGGTGGCTGAAAGCAATGAACATGATTGTCCAACAGCCAATTGTCTTACCAAAAAGCAAGGAACTATTATTTCTCCCCAACCAACCCAACAAAATATATGGGACATGAGCATTGTCTTAAACCACCTTAAACAGTCTAAAATTGCCAAAGAACTGTTACTGAAAGACTTAACTCTAAAGCTTGTTATGCTAATGGGACTTTTGTCTGGGCAGCGATGCCAGACTCTGCAATCATTAAGTATTGACAGCATGAAACTTGGTGATGATGAGTGTGTTTTTCCCATTAACAAACTACTGAAAACCACCAAACCTGGTTCCAAACCACTAAAACTGCTTTAAAAGGCTTTTCCTCTGGACAAACAATTATGTGTCCCACATCACCTGTTGGAATATATACAACGCACAAAGGGAATCAGGGAAAACACAAAACAGCTCCTTGTGGCTCACCAAAAGGCAAATTTCTACAAAAAGCCCATCATTGACCAGGACACCAATTTTGGTGAAACTTTATTAAACTCTGTTTATGTTTATGTTAATGTTTAAACTAACATACTGTTAGACTGTGGCATATACCACACAAATTTCTAGTTGTTACTACGTACACATTGGCTTTGTACTGTTATACAATAAATCTTTGCTCCAGAATTTGCAGTGATTGCACGGCTTTGAAGTCTCATGTGACTCCCTAGTGACGTAACTGATGACGAAATAGAATTTAAAAATTAAACGAGACTTACCTGTAAGTTGAAGTTTGATTGTAATTCTATGAGTTATCAGTAAGGAACTAGGGAGTCACCCACCCAACACACTATGTGGCCAAACTAGAGATGGCAAGCCCACCCTTGTTGGGTGCAATCACTACTGCTTCAAAGGCTGAATACTCGATCTGCGCATGCATATCTCATGTGACTATCTCATGTGACTCCCTAGTTCCTTACTGATAACTCATAGAATTACAATCAAACTTCAACTTACAGGTAAGTCTCGTTTAATTTCTAAATTTTATCCTTATTTTCCACTAATCGCATAAACAGAATTCTGCGAAGCATTTTTGGGTTTTGTAGCATTTGGGTGGTGTATGATACAATATCGTTTGCAGAGATTAAAGTCTAGTAATAAAACACAAAATAAAACAGGCTGTATTCCTATAATGTCTATTAACAGATACAAATACTTAATTCTAAGATTTTGATGGCTATGGGAAAAGATAGTGATTGATTTTTGGTTACTAGTACTGGTAAAAAGTGGGGTAGTGTAAATTCTGGCCACCCCCTCCACTTTTCAGACACAATTTTGTCTAAAATAGAATAGAATTTTATCTGTTTGACTACCTTTCATAATTTGCCAACAAGATACTTAAATACTCACACTTTACCAATCTTAGCCCTATAGAAAACTACATTATGCAATATGAAGAGAAATATACTCTATTAATTATGCAATTTAGATAGTTACCTGTGTTGCATTTTCTTTTGTGGACGATTCACAGTCATCACTGTTGACAATCTTATCTTTGGTGGGTGAAGTTTCAGGGAAATAACCATCAACATCTGTATTTAAAGTTTGTTCAGAGCTGTCAATTTTTGGCTTTCTAGGGTTATGGTTTGAGTTGACTTTATTGGCAAGTGTCACAAGAACTTCTGCAATAGATAATGCATTGACTGAATCCTCCACAGGCTTGGGATGCTCTGATGTTGTACTATGTGACGTTTGTAGATGGATGGGATCGGACAAATTCAACATAGAATGGGCTACATCTTTTTCGAACATGTTCCTTCGCTTCTTTGTGGGTTCTAAATTCTTTCTTGCACTTGGTTTGCGTTTTCTTTCAAGTCGCTTTACCTATGTACATATCGTATAAACAAAAATAAGCATATTTTTAAAACTACATCAGTGAGATTTGGAAAACTTTTAAGATAACAGCAAAGATTACCTGTTGTTCACTTGCTGTTGCTGAAATGGGATAGGGGTTTTCTGCTGTTGGTCCATTCTGGCCCACAAAATGCAAACTGCAAATATAGCTGTCTTTAGAACAAATAAAGTTATCGCCTCGATGACAGGCTGTTATCCAACGCGACCGCTTCTTTGGTGATCTTTTTGGTGCTGGAAACCGATAGAAATATACAGGATGGTCATTCTTATTCTTAACCATCAAATGTGGGTAGCGAGAATCGTTTTTACATGTTCCCCAAGCGCATCTCTTCGTCGCAACCATAATCAGTATAAATTACTATGAGCCCATTGAGCCGCTGTCGTTTCAAAGCAATTGATTTTTAGGAACTACAACTCTGTTTAAGTATCTGATATAGAATCTTTAGACATTTTTCTTTATATTTATAGTAAAACAACACCGAAATATACAATAATTACAATATAAATTTGCAATTCAAATCACGAACGATAGTTAGCGCCATATTAACTCCTATTGCACAACAGTGCGAATGTCTGCAATGTTTACATTTTGCACCACGTGACAACCTTCAAAACTACACGTGCTGTTAACCGCTGAAGTGGTGGATTCGATTTCTTAATATTCAGTTATTTTAATTAGCCAGTTAGAAACATGTGTGGGAAAGTGAGGGATAGAGATGGACAGGTGATTATGCATGTTGATATGTAGGGATAGAGACGGCTAGTCACTACTTATTGAGCTCAGTTGTCTTGCTGGTTTTCATGCGATTCATAATGAATCCATGTCAAGTAAACAAAGCTAATAGTCAAACTGAGGATGTTTTCTACTCATCTTGGAAAATATGTAAGCCAACTTTCACCGACAGGCTTACAATTTCAGAATCTAAAATACGGATTCGGACATCCAGAGACTTTACCAGTATATGTGGCCTTATAGTTGGCTTTCTATTTCTTTGTGGCGACGTAGCTGCAAACCCAGGACCATATCAGCACGTGTTCAACAGCCAAAATGATATCAAATGTATTGTTTTGAATGCGAGAAGTTTGAAAAGTTTTAATAGGATTCAAGACCAGGATGGGCAGAGTAAACAAGTTTATAATCTACATCATTTTCAAAACCTTGTCTACACTGAGGACTCTGACATCGTCTGTGTAAACGAGACATGGCTTAACAACAGTGTCAACAACTCTGAAATCCTGCACAGTGGATATATTATTTACAGAAAAGATAGACTAGAGCAAAGAGCTGGGGGAGTATTGATTGCAATTAAAAGCGAAGCATTCAAATCTGTACGTGAGCTTCAGCTTCCTGATGCCCTAAAGGAATTTGAGGTTGTTTCATCGTTGGTTACTACGGTCACCGATAAGAAAATTCTGTTTTGTTCTTGCTATCGCCCTCCCAATTGTACTCCAAACTGGGTAATTTTATTCAACATATTTTTGGACTTAGTTTGTAATCAATATGAAAACATGGTAATTTGTGGCGACTTCAATCTACCGAAAATCCCCTGGGAAGCTCCTGACAGTGCAATAGGTGCAAATGAACTGCCATTCGTTGAGGCATTAAACAATCATTACTTCATCCAGCTAAATTGTACCCCTACTTGAGATAATAGCATACTAGACTTAGTAATCACTAGTGCTCCAGATCATACCATCGTGTCAGAAATATTGTCGTTAGACAAAGTAGGAATTTTTAAGGATCATCACACAGTTTTGTTTGAATTCAACACCTTCATTAAAGCACCTACTAAAACACACAGACTTATATTTGACTATGCAAAAGGTGACTTTGAAGGCCTGCGTGCAGCACTTTCTGCAATTAACCTCTCTTCGATTATAAACCACGAAGATATAAACACTGACTGGCAGCAGTGGAAAGATACTTTCTTAACTGCAGTGTCAGATTACATACCATCCAAGAGGTTGAAGGGTAGGAATCCTGTGCCATGGATAAACGGTGCTATACTTAACTTGATCAATAAGAAAAACCATGTGAGAAAGAAGTTAAAAAAATCTCTGACTTGCTACCTCAAGCTACAGTTTAAAAAATTGGGATCAGATATAAAGAATATGCTTCGAGAGAGCCGTAAAATATTTTTGAAGTCGATGGAAACTGAATTTAACAAAAACCCTAAGCGTTTCTGGTCAATCTTGAAAAATAATTCAAAATCTCGTGCCATACCAAACGGTGTTTCTATGCCAATGATAGGCTTCAGGTCTGATGTTCACGACCAACAACCACCACTCAGATCGTCAGCAGCTGAGAAACCTCGGGAAATAGCAAATCTATTCAACTTGTACTTCATCTCCGTATTCGATAAAGGCAATATTCACCTTTATATACGCGATATTTGCTAAAGGCGATATTCGCCAAGGCGATATTTGATAAAGTTCAAGAAATGGCCCTGAATTTTAATTATTACATAATCGATTTTATCCAGTGGCCACTGCACTAGCTTTCTTTCGAAAAGGATCTTGCTTTGACTGTAAATATTTCAAATGACAGTCCAATACGTTTTGATCTTGATTACTTACATCCATGCAAAACTTAGACAACCAGTAATTAATCTCTTGTACACTTAAACTTGACAGGTCATCAGGAGCAAACAGATATTTCAAGTTTTCTGGTTCGAAATCCTTTGAATTTTCATTTTGAGACCTAGCCCAATCAATATAAACATTAACACCCCAGGATGTATGCTTCCTGGTATTCTTTGGAATTGCTTCTTTTTGCCAAGTATTGTATCTGCATCCATACAAAATGTCTTAAAACGTTTCCCTTCTGCCATTCTTGGTGTTGATAAACCTCGCCTTAGGTATCTGCAAAATTCTATTGATTCGATGTATTGGTTTTTAATAGCCCTGCAAGAACAAAGGAAATACCCGCAATCATGATATTACAAAGTAATAGCATAAAAAGAGGCAAATTAGCTATTATAATTGTCCCGCCTGATGAGGGTCGTTTAGTAAAATTCCCTTGGGCGGGACAATTATAATAGCTAATTCGCCTCTTTTTATGCTATTACTTATAAATATTTGCCATCTGCCAAATAAGATAGGGCGATATTCGATAAAGTTCAAGAAGCGGCCCTGAGTTTTAATTATTACATAATCTGACGACTAACGTTTCATTGCTTACTGGAAACGCAATATGCCATCATGCCAACATCAAAACATGAGATATTTAAAGTTATCAAGACATCAAGTTATTAAACATTTATGATATAAACTGCTTTGATAATATTTTACAGATAAAGCACTAAACATATTTTTAAAGTTTGTATGCCAATTGAGAAACGTATTGAAAAATAAAAATTTAGAATTTAGTCATAACCTCAAGTGATATATTTAATATATGCATTAGTTTTGAGCATGTGTTATGTAACATTCAAAAAACTCCTCTTAATAGTTCAGTTTTGCTGCCGGTATTCAAACGAAAGTCGCTTTCCATAGCCATCAGCTTTCACATCGTGAAAAATTATATCCAAAGTGCAGGTTTGCAAGAGATTATTACAGTAAAGTTTAAACAGGTTGTGGTTTATTTAAATATATCAAGTGGTTTAAATTTCGCGTGAAGAGAGGTAAAATAGTGGGAATGCATCATCAAAATGCATAGTGCTAACCCAAAAACTATTGTAAACTTTTTAAAAATTTAGCCCCCCCCCCCGAAATAAAATATGTTATGCCGCCCCTGATAGCATTTGTTATTGCCTTAGCTTTTATGCTCTCTTTGGCAAAGGGGGTGTTATGCAATAGCGTTTGTGTGAGACTCAGCTGCATAGTTGAGGATGAAGATCCAGCTGGTTTTGAAATGGTTTCATAAAGACCCATTCCCCCCATGACTTTGATTTCGCATTAGAGTTTCTGCGACTCACTACTTTACGGCACTTCCGACACATGGCTTTTGAGCCGTCGGTCGAATTTTTTATAAAGCCATCCCAGATGTTTGATGAAGGGGTATCGGTGGATTCGGTGCGTCTGCAAACATTTTTAAACTCCTGGTTGTATAGCGATACAGATTACATAAAGTATGTAAAGGTTTGAGCAAGTTTTCACCAAATTTCCCGACGAAATTTGATGCTTACAGTCTAAACTAAATATTTAATATGTCTCGACTGATGTGCAAAGGTCATTCACTTTTCTTAATTAAAAAATTATTTTCTATCTTAACATGAGAGACATATATTTTTGAAATCCTTAGAAAATATTCTTTTGAAAGATAAGTAAACAAAGCCTCTACAACAAAAATTGGATGAGCTTACATAAGATTTGTAATCTTGTTGTCATGTTGCAAACAATTAAATTTTAGTCAAGCAGCTGCCAAATTGACTCCTAACTTCTAAATTTCTGATTGTATAAACTTGATTCAAACATTTTCTGATAGCTTATTTTTTGAAGATTAAAAATGTGTAAAATTTACCTTGTCTTGGAGCAGCAAGTATAGGAAATTTTCAAAAACAAATCAATTTCGCAAATTGAAATTACACCCCAAAATTTGGGTGTTTCCTTTACTGCTGTTGAACGCGTAGAAGTTGAATCTATTGTTATGTCTATGGCACCAAACAAAGCTCCTGGGAACGATAAAGTTCCGATACATGTAATCAAAACTTGCTTGACTGTAATTTCACCTACCATCACTTCAATTATCAATGCTTCACTGTTAACCTCTAGTTTTCCGAGCGTATGGAAAAACGCTGAAGTTGTTCCTATCCACAAGAGTGGTGATCATGAGATCGCAAATAATAATAGACCTATATCGTTATTGCCAGTGCTATCAAAAATCTGCGAACGAGCAGCTTATAATCAGTTTTCGACCTACCTTCTCTTGAATGATCGTTTATCGTCTAAACAAAGTGGAAACAAGCATCTACACTCAACAGAAACCTCGGTAATTCAGACTACAGACATGATCTTGAATGCCATTGACAAGAAACAGCTAACTGCGATTGTGTTAGTCGACATGAGCAAAGGATTCGATAGCATAGATACCACGACTCTGCTTACCAAGTTAGAAGATGTTGGCGCGCCTTGTCAGGCGATACAATGGTTCCAAAGCTACCTAACATCCAGGTATCGAGTAGTAAGAATACAAACAACCTTATCCGAGCCTTTAGAGGTAAAGAGTGGAGTACCTCAGGGAAGTATACTTGGGCCACTTCTGTTTAGTATTTATGTGAATGATTTGCCATCAGTTCCACAACAATGTTCTCCCTATTCCTATGTCGATGACACAAAACTTTTAATGTCGTTTTCTCTGCAACACCAACAAAGAGCTGTCTCAGAAATAAATCAAGATCTCTT